CATCAAAGGAGGGGGTAATGAACTGCCTGAGCCCCACCTGGAGCCAATTAAGTCAGAACCTCCGGGGAACACTCCCCAGGTATTGTGAGAACACGCCTTCTTTCCTGGCACAAGATGAGCATCCCTTCGCTTTGTAGTCCTCCAAGGGGAGGAAGGTCTCAGAAGTTTGATCTCACTCCTCTTGTCTTTGTCAACCTTGGCAGCCTGTGCAGTTGTCTTCGTTAGGGTTTCCACTGCTGTGAGGAGACCCCGTGACCATGCAACTCTCATAAAGAAAAAAGCATTTAGTTGGGGACGGATTACATTTTCAGAGGTTTAGTCCGTTATCGTTATGGTGTGACATGGTGGCGTGCCAAGCAGGCATGGTGGTAGAGAAATAGCTGAGAGTCCTACATCCTGACTCAAAGCAACAGAAAGTGATCTGAGACATGGGGTGTGGCTTGTGCATATATGAGACACCAAAGTCCACCTCCATAGTGACACACTTCCTCCAACAAGGCCACACCCACTCCAACAAAGCCACACCTCCTGATAGTGCCACTCCCTTGGGGGGGGGGGGTCATTTTTTTTCAAACCTCCACAGCGGTCTAGTTCTCATTTCAATTTGACACAAGCGAGACTCACTTTGGAAGTTGGAACCTCAGTTTGGAAAGTGCCCTGCTGTGGAATGATCCTCTCGTACACTGTCAAGATTTGTCACTTGAATTGGATTACTAAAATGCTGATTGGCCAGTAGCCAGGTAGGCAGTGTGGCAGGGTGGCCAAACCAGGAGAATTCTGGGAAGAGGAAGGGCGGAGTGAGAGCATCAGCAGCAAACACAGAAGAGCAAGATGAGAATTGCTGTAACGAGAAAAAGTACCAAATCACATGGTTAAACATAGATAAGAGTTATTGGCTAATTTAAGGGCGAGAATTAGCTAGTAATAAGCTTGAGCTACTGGCTGAACATTTATAAATACTATTAAGTCTCCGAGTCAATTATTTGGGAAGCAGCTGCTGCAGGAAGGAAACATCTGATTACAATGCTCCCATAAGACTGGCCTGTGGGCAAGCCTTAGGTGCATTTTCCTGATGATTGATGTGGGTAGTGCCACGTATGGGCTGGTAGCCCTGGATGCTGTAAGAAAGCAGACTGAATAAGCCACAGGGAGCAAGCCAGCAAGCATCACCCCGCCCCTATGGCCTCTGCATCAACTCCTGTCTCCACGTTCCTGCCCTAAGTGAGTTCCTGTCCTGATTTCCCTCAGCAGCAGAGTGTGGTCTGAGAGTTATAGGCTGAAGTAAACCCTCTCCTCCCCAACTTGCTTTTGGTCAGTGTTTTATGACAGCCATAGAAACTCTCACTCAGACAAAGTCCCTCATCTGGATCCCCCTTCCCTCTCCATGCGTCCGCATCTCACCCAGATCTCCAAAGCCCAGCATCAGTTCCTCCTGCTCTGGTGCCTGCAGCATGCCTAGGACACCTGCATGCCAAGAGGCTTCGCTGCAGCCAGTCCTGCTTTTCCAGCATGTCTCCATGTCCACTCCTAAGCATCTTCAGAGCGGGTTTCAGTGCTGTAGACCAGCCGTCCTCAAGGTGCCATCTCCAGAGGGTTGTTATCTTCTGCAAGCACGCGATCCCTGGAAGGTCTCTTCTCCACCCACACCTACTGAGTTACAATTATGGTAAAACGCAGACCTCGGAGCAACACAGCTGCCATCTACACCAGATGAGCTGCAGCTGTCCCTGCATGTGAGAGTCCATCATGCTGGGCCTGTAGAGTGTTGGTGTTCCCTTATAGAAACAAGGAGGAGGGGAGAGTCTCTGGACCCTCACCTGACAGAGCCCCCTTTTGTATGCAGTTCTGCCTTAAAGGCATGTGACTTCATGCCACAGGATACAGGCTAGTGAGATTAACTGAAAGAGGCTCTATCTATGTAGGGATGGAGGAGCTGTCATCCTGGTGAGATGCAGACCTTCCATTGTGGTGGTTCTGGGGTTCCCCACGGTCCTGCCCACAATCCTTCACCTCTGTAAGAGAGCTTACGGACCTCGTTGGTTTCCTAGGATGAACTATGATGGGATAGTACTTTGGTTTGTCACCGGGACATTGTGAGGAAGGATGGATGCTGTTTACCTCTTACCGGGAAAGGAATCCTCACGTCAGGAACAACGATGATGGGCCAGCAGTCTAGGGTCTCACAGTCCCTTAGGGTGATGCTGCCCGAAGCTTGCTGTTCCAAGATCACTACTCTAAACTACTGACACTGGCTACCTGAAATACAGCCTTGCTCCTGCTCCCAGTTCCTCGGCCTCACCCAGGAGTGTACAGACACACAGAATTTCAGGGCCAATCTTGCTCTTCATCCCCACAGATGCATTGCATGTGTGAGAAGGGCTGTCCCACTGGAGGGTGCTGTGACTGGCTGTGAAATGGAGGAACTAGCAAGCGTCATGACCCCTGACCTCCAGGACCTCACCCCAGCATGTGGCAGGGGCTCTCGGCTGCTACCCTTGGCTGCAGGTAGTAGGGAGGGGCCTATAGAGAGATCTGAGTGGCTGACTTAAACCCGAGGACAACTAAGTGGACAGATGTCACTGAGGCCATTGCCTGGTTGTTGTGATACCAGAAAGTTGGGGTGCCTTTGATTCTAATGAAGGCCTTCTTTAAATCCTCAAGTATACAAAGTTCAAGAGGGCTAGGGTCCCCAAAACCTCAACAACCACCAAAGTGACTTTGGGGGTTTTGTATACAGAATTTGAAGAGAAAAAAATTCCCAGGGGCTGGAGGGATGGCTCAACAGTTAAGAGCACTTGCTACTCTCACAGAAGACCTGAGTTCAGTTCCCAGCACCCACATAAGGAATTTCACAACAGTCTGTAACATCAGAGGATATGAAGTTACATAGGAAGTTCTGGCCTCCTCTGACGCCTTCATACATGTGTATATACTCACCTAATGCCACACAAATAATCAAATCCTTAAACAACCCCTAAGCCACAGAGGGTGAGTTCCAGAGAGAAGGTTATTGGAGATCCATGGATGGAAATGTAACAGAGAGACACCAGGCACTCCTAGGTAGCAGCATGGGTCCCAGGATATAGGGCTCCATCAAGCTGTCTTTCACGGGGTTGTTTGAGAGACTTACATGGGGAGAACAGTCTTCCCAACCCTGGGGCACCCGGCTGCTTCTCCCGAGTTTTCGCCATCACCTCGCATCCAGCTTCCAGGCCAGGATGAGAACTGACAGGGAACCAGGAGCCGGAGCTGCTGTCTTGTCCTCCTGGTCTCCAGCGAAGACATTCTCAGAGCTGCCGCTTTGGGGGTCCCTGCCCCATCTGCCCAGTGTCTATCGTCTTCATCGGTTATATACTATGAACTGGTAACTAAACTAAACCAAACCCCTGGAAAACGTTCAGAAGGCTAACCTGCTTTAAGACTCCTGAAAAGTAACGGACTGAATTCCACCAGGTTGTCATCTACCTGAGTGAGGCCTTCACTCACGGATCCTGTCTCCTGCCTACTTGTCCTTCTTGACTCCCCTAAGTATTGGGGACTATGGACCCCCTACCTGCCGGAGTAAAGAGGTTGTTTTCCTATGCTTGCAGCTGCTCTGAGCAAACAACTTGTTTTGCACCTGCTCTGAGCATGAGATCCTTAGGAGTTCCTGGTGGCAGGGGAGTGGTTTCTGGTGGGCTTGCAGCTGAAAGTTAGGGCGTGGCCATTAGTCAAGGAGACCCTATATAAGCTGCCTTGCAACACACTAAAGGGGGCATTCTTGGAGAGTTCTTGGTGTTACTCCTCCCCCTCTCTCTGTCTCTCTCTCTCTATCTCTCTCTCTCTCAGTGTGTGTGTGTGTGTGTGTGTGTGTGTGTGTGTGTGTGTGTTTCAATCTCCAGGCCCTTGTCTGACTCACGAACCACACTGTGGCGCATAGTGTGTAGAACAGGCATTGCGCTACACCTAAGTGTTATCCCCACAACATGAACTGAAGACAAATGGCATTGTGGGGTACCTTAGTCTGAGGAGTGGGACTTGAACCATGGGCAGAGACAGAGAGGCAGGAAAAGGGTCCTGGGAGCTCTCCCTGACAACGTGTTCTCTAGGTCCCTTTTGTTCATCTCAGCAAGTACATGAACGCCTAGAACGCATGCCAATTAGAACATTCCTTCTGCCCCTTCTGACCTGTCACATTAAAGGTTATTAAAATTTCATTCAATATGAGTTTGATAGTCAAATGCCAGCCTCTCCTGACAGGTTATGAATAGCTGCTTTGAGTCCAATTTGAGGTTTGGATTTAAAAAGGAAAAAAAAAAGTAAGTTCCCAGCCATCCATCTGTGATTGAATCTGAGACTCGTCCCCTCCTCCCCCAAAACCCATCATCGGTGGCCATTAGTACTTCTCCCTACTCACAGAATATTGTGTATGAAGCTTTAATGTCCCCCGGGGAAGTGAGACCATTACAGGGGAAGAAGAAGGAAAAAAAGACATATTTCCATTTCTGTTCCAATATGCACAACCTAATTAAGATTTTATAAACACCCACCCGGCAGGAAAACACACGTACACACTCACGCACACCTAAATTAGTAGGGCAAATAGAGCCTGGATTAAGGACTTTGCTTGCTGCTTTCTGACCGGTGTTAATTAGGTGTCTGGTGTGGGGTAGTGTCACAGTGTCACATGGTGGAATGGTCTCATGTTGGCTCCCTGCGTCTCAGTCATTGGGCCTCTACTCCTAACTTCTTTCCCCAAAGCATCTCACCTCTTGTCCTCTATTCTTGTTCCGGACCCCTCCTCGCTGGCTTCCCCCTTGGAACCTCTCACCAGGAACCAGCTACTGTGGACTGGGGCCTGGCACATCCCTACTTGTGGCATTGCCCGGCTGGTTGCAGCAGAGTTCCTACCCTCATCCTCTAAAGCCCAGGCACTGGAGACAGCGAGAACAGGCTGCCTGTGGAACCCTGGTTCCCGGAGCGGCAACTCGGGAGGCGGTGCGAGGGGCTGCTCATCCCCTGCCGATTTCTTCTCTGTCTGCTGGGGGAAAATACAGTAACTAATTAGCTTCCTCCCTCTTTGTGTGTCCCTGGGGCTGCTGGGGAAAGATTTCCTTCTGACGAATAGAAAATTAAAGCTGCGGATTTTGAGGAGTGGAGGACGCAGGAGTTGAGGGGACATGATTGAGGGACAGGAAGCTGAACGAAAGAAGGTCTTGTCTTCAAAGTCAGTGTGAGCACCTAGGGATGGAGAGAAAGGACAAGAACCCACCGGACTTAGATAAGTAGGAAGCCTGGCTTCTCTATCCCGCTGGGGAGAAGCTCCAGAAACCAGGTGAAATGAACCTAGTAAAAGCCACCCAAGATGGGCTTCGAGGAAGAACAAAGCTGGGCTAGAGAAGAGGCAGGCATACAATGTGAGTATGTGTGTGTATTCCAGTTACCACCAACGATCATGTTGCCCTCAGTTGGACCCAGCACTCTGCAGCTTTTGTCCGTACCTAGGGTGGCGTTCTAAGCATCCTGTGCCATGCCTGTTCTCACTCGGGGTCCAGGGAGGTGTCACTGAAACTTCAAGGCTGATGATTCCATTTGAACAGAGGTAAACTGAGGCTTTGGAGTCTGTAAGAACTCACTCAGACTCACACTGCTCTGCTCCCAAGAGACAAAAAGCACATGTTCAATTTTCCCTCCAGCCCAGGAGGGTGAACCCCTGCTCTTCTGTCTAGCCAGCCGAAGCCAAGGAAATGAAGCTAAAGAGAGCAGAAAGGCAGCTGGGCTGACACAAGGAGCTGCTGGGTCTTTCAATTCGAGGGTGACTGAGAGCCTTAGTGCTACTGGCTGATCAAGCCGTGAACACCTGCTGCAGCCTTTCTTCCTGTCGCTGTAAGGGAAAAGGCAAGCCTAACAGACTCCCTAGGTGCCCGATTCCACGAGAATCACTGACCCCCTTCTCGCTTCCCATGAGGAAGTTGATAAGGCTCAGGTTGACAGACTTCTAGACACCAGACGGCTGTGGCCTGTGACACATCCCTCTCGCCTGTATGATGGATAGCTCTAAACTTTGCCTGCATCTTCAGAGTTACAAATTCCTCCTTGGAATTCCCTCCCTTCCCCCTGCCACCCAGGAATTGGGGATAACACGGCTGTAGGCTCGTACTGTGGATCAAACACCAATGACATGGCATAAAAACCTTCACCCTCCAGAAAGAGCCACCGCCAGGCTCTGCCTACTGAGCTGAGAGCTCCTGAGGGCTCCTGCCATGCTGCTGTCTGTCTGTCCCGTCTGTCTGTCTATGGTACTAATAGAGATTCTAATAAACCTCTTAACCCCAAATGACAATCCATCTCAGTCTCTCCCTTGAACCCCAAACCCCCAAACGTTTCCGTAACGTCTCAAGTATATCTCCTAACACAGAGAAGAGGAGTCTGGACAGGAAACAGACACTTAGGAAAACATGATGGGCAGACAGCTGGATTAAAGTTGCCAACAGTTCCAAGATAGGCACAGGATGCTTGACTGGCATCCAGAACTTGGTAGCCTAGCATCCCTCTGACTGGTGCAGATACCCACCTGTATACACTGAGGTGCTCGGAGACCCCACTCTGCTTCCCCAACTCCAGCTGAAAAAAGCACAAAAGCAGCCACCCCGTGAATTAGCTCGAGTGACATTCACTTTGTATACACATGTTTACAACCAGGGCCAGATGGTGAAGTGTTGGATCCGTTTCAACTCCACTCAAGTGAGCTTAACTGAGCCCAGCTTTGCATGTGGCCCAGGGCGGCAGCAAAGGAGGGGGCTAGCCCTTCCTCAGATGCCCACCCTCCACACACTCCTGATCGGAGAGGGTATTGGCGAGCCCTCACCTGAAGCTGCGGAGGCTCGCCGGCTGTCAGGACGTCTTAGCAAACCTTCTGAAACACCTCAGACAGAAGAAAGACACAGAGCCCACTCTGATATCTTGAGTTTCTTCCTTTCCTTCTTCTTTTTTTAAACATAAGTAAATAAATAAAGAAATCTCACTTGATCGGAAAGAGTTTGCGAACAATCACAGACAACAGTGTTTATGCTGCCAAAGGATTTGTACTGGCAGGAAGAGAGGGTGGGCAGATCACACAGAGCCATTGTTTCCCAAACTCTGAAGGCTGCCTCAAGTGACATGATAGAGGAGAGGGAGGAGGGGAGGAGCTGACAGAATGGCAGAGAGAGAGTTTGGGGGAGGTCTTCTTCCCCTAGTGAAGTGATTGGTTGGCCCATGGGGTGTAGCCTCCCGCGGGGCCAAGAGGAAGAGGGCTGCCTAGGTCTGAGGAGTCCAAGCCCTAGCTGATTAGCCTGATAGGATGCGGGGGTGGGGGGGTCTGTGGAGTAGGGAGAACCAGCCAGACCTTAATCCCCTGCAACTCACACCCCAAAAACATCTCAGGTAAAATGAAGCCCGTGATAGACAGACACCACACACACACAAAAGTGACTAAGGGAGGGATGGGGAAAGAGTAAGAATAGGAAAGGGGCGGGGGGGGAGGGGAGAGAAGGAGCTGGAGAGATGGTTCTGCAGTTAAGAGCACTGGCTGGTCTTAAAGAAGTCCTGAATTCAATTCCCAGCAACCACATGGTGGCTCACAACCATCTGTAGTGAGATCTGGTGCCCTCTCTTGGTCTGCAGGCAGAACATTGTATACATAATAAATAAAAAATAAAAAAAGAGAGAGAAGAGGGCAGGGAGAAAAGGGGGGAGGGAGGGAGAACGGGGGAAGAAGTAAGGCAAGGAGGAGAGGGGGAGGGAAGGAGGGAGAGAGGGAGGGAGGGAAGTTGGAAGGAAAGAAGAGAGAAACAAAAATTTCACAAGTTTCGAGGGAGGTCGTAGGACCCCCTCAGGTCAAAGTTGGTCTTAATACCCACTCAGCAGCCCGCCCTGGTCCAGCGCCTCCCCTCTGTATCCAGAGAGCTGGCTGTTTCTGACGAAATCTTTCCTTTGTTTTATTTTCTCACTTGCCTTCCCAAGGTTCTGCTGAGTTCCAGCTATAGGATGGTACCAATGACCTAGGGACTCCATGAGTATTTGATGAATGAATGCATGCGTGAATGGATGAATGGCCCAAATTTCTATTTATGCTGCTCACAGAGGGGCTACTGGGAGTGTCGAGCCACACTCCCCTCAGTAGCCCTCCTCCTGTTGGTTCCTGGGATCCAGCCCAGAACAGGGTGTCCAGGATGAGGGGGGAACAGCCCAGCCTGTCGTTATTACCAGGCTAATGAGCTGGGACTAAGAAACAATGTAAGGACTATAGAAATGAAGGCGAGGCTGGAGACTCTTCCAGCCATGATTATTTAGAAGGCTCTGAAGTCGAGAGTGAGCTGGGTTTCGTTACTGGATAATGAGCCCGAATGCCAGAAGAAAGGTTTGGCTGGTTGGAAAAGGGAAAGAGCCTCTCTCACACTCCTGTATCAGGCAGAAGCCAAGGAAATCGGGTGTCTCAGAGGAGACAGGCTTCTGGCCCACAAGCCAATCTGATGGAGATACTGAAGAGGTGAAAGGTACAGACGGGCATCTCTATCTCTCTCTAAAGAGAATAGAAGCAGCTGTACCTCAAGCCAAGCTAACCTATGCTTCCGGCTGCAGCTGCAGACAACTTGAAGTTCCAAGCCTTTGGTGATCGTCCGACATGGCCTTCCCTGCAGCCTGCAGCATGTAGCCTGCAACCTGAGCATTTGTGTCCTAGGTGTAGACAGAGGCTGGGCGCCTGGACCTCCTGGAACCAGCTCTACTGTCCTCAAAGGTCTTCCTCAGCAAGAGGTGTGTCCCAAAAGGAGGAGACAGGAAGTAGGAGTCATCTCAACGCGTCACTGTCCTGCACGGTTTGTAGACACCCTCACGGGGTGTGTTACAATTTGTACACATGTGTTTGCATTTTGTTCCCAGATGATGGGGATGCTTGGGAGGTTGGACCCTTTCTGACATGAGGCCTAGCTGTCAGGACCATAAAGGTGGGGCAAATAGATATGGCCAGCTCAATTTCGGGGCAACCACCCTGATTCCTGGTCAGCCTTGTGTAACTACAAGCAGCTGCCGCAAGCTCCTATCACCATGGTGAGCCATTCCGTATCAGGCTCTTGATGGATGGACCATATTCCCTCAAACCACGAGCCCAGACATGTTCTTCCTCCCTCGTGCTGCCTCTGTCCAGTGTTCCGTCTCAGCAATGAGGAAAGAAAGGACTAGACACAATTACTGGTTGTAGCCCCTTAGAATAGACTCAGCGATGCAGCCTGCCTGGACAGAGAACCTTTTCTAGAATTTGAAAATCAATGAGAATTTGAAATAAAAATGAGCATCCCAAGAAACATCTGGATTTCAGTGGCAAGCATCTTGTTTAGCATAATCATGTCCCAAAGGGACATACTAAGGGAAAATGACTCGCTGTCAGAAATTCCAATTTATCCAGGCAGTCTGTGTTCTTATCTAGCAATCCCATGAAGGCTCCCCTCTGCGGTCCACCCTCCCTGCCACCTGCTGTCCCCTACAGGAGGACAGATGAGGAAGATGGTGGAATAGGACACTTCAGTGTCTCTGTGTCAGCCTCCAAAAGAAGCAAAGGCAGATGTGGTCCTAGTCACCGCAGCTGGGCAGCAAACCACTCCCAAACTTGGCAGCTTAAAATGACCATCTTGTTATACTCGGAGTGTTCTGGGTTGATTTCTCTGTTGCTCTGAGAAACATCATGGCCAAAAGCAGCTTTGGGAAGGAAGGGTTTATGTGACTTACATTTCCACATTAGAGTCCATCACTGAGGGAAGTCTGGGCAGGAACTCAAGGCAGGAACCTGTAAGCAGGAACTGAAGCAGAGATGGCAGAAAAAACGCTGCTTGCTGGCTTACTCCCAGGCTCACATACAGTTACTTTTCTTATAGCACCATCAGTGGGCTGGGCTCTCCCACAAAAATTGTCACTCAAAAAACACCCATACAGATGTGCCCGCAAGCCAATTAGATAGAGATAAGTCCTTGATTGAGATTCCGTCTTCCCAGATGTTCCTAGATTTGTGTCAAGTTGAAAAAAAAAAAAAAAAAAAAAGCTAACCAGCACACAGACGACTCTGGGAATTTTGGCTGCCCATAGTTGCCCATAGTATGAAAGGCCTTGATTCTATGGGTTGGGGGATTCCTCTGGGAGTATTCAGTGGTTGAGATGCTCAAGGGCTGGAGACGAGACTCTCCTGGTAAGGTGTTCCTTCCCTGGCAGATGCTTTGACCTGCAGCCTCAGCTCAAGAACTACTGTGTGAGCACCCCCTCATGGCAGCCTCTGGGTGGTGCAGCTTCTTAGGAAGCAGCCCCAGTGAGGAAGAACAGGAGTGGTCAAGCCTATTTGGAGCCATCCCCAGAGTCTCATGGCATTACCTCTGCCATCACCCATTTGTGAAGAATGGGAAGGCCTGGGGTTTAGGGTTTGAGGGGGACATGAAGTCAGATTGTCTTTTTGTGTAAGAGATGTGTTAGAATTGCCACTAACGCCCTAGATGGACAGACAGACAGCGGAAGCATGATGAGGGTTCTAAGGAGAGTCCAGGCCCACACTGGGAATGTTAGCCAGGGCCACACCATTTTGTCAAGTTCCTTCATTTTGGTTCAACTGTGATGAGTCCTTAATTTCTGCAAGTTCAATGGACTACTCATCAATCACATGCCGTAGAACCTCCCCTCTCTTCGACAACCAATAAGAAGGGACCCCATTCTGCACATGGGCCTGAATTCTCAGAGCTTATACCATGCTGTTGGTTGATTGTTCATTTGTGACTAATTAATAACTTATCTAATAAACTTCTTACTAAAGGGACAGTCCTCCTTAGTGTCCCTTGAGTGCCAAGCCTGACACCTTTTAGGATGAGGTCACCAGTTCACCCAGGATCAAGCAAAGACTGCCACCACAATTAAATCTGAACTGGGACTCCACAGGCTCATGTGTTTGGTCACCAGCTAGCGATGCCATTTTGGAAGGTTCTGGGACTTTGGGAGGTGGGGCCTAGCTAGATGAAATAAGTTCACTGTGGGTGAGATTTAAGGGGATATTATCCTTGACCATGCCCTGGCTCATTCTCTCTGCTTCCTGGCTGTCCATTACACTCTTCTGGCCTTGACAGAGGAAACCTTGTGACATGAGCCCCAAGAAGCCATTCTTCCCTCTCGGTTGTTCTGCTGGGTGTTTGGTCAACACAAAAGGGCAGCCATCTTCTCAGTGGCACAGACTCTGTGGGCGTGTTTCCAACCGTTGGCCGGTGAAGCAGAGAAGGAACAGGAGGAAGCATGCAGAGGGTACAGGCTCACCTGGGGGTAGTGGAGCCAAATAAGTTCAGGCAACCGCGAAGGACCCTGAAGGGGGCGGGGTGGAAGAAAGCTTGGGCAGAGGTAGAACCACATGGCCTCTGGATGTGAGCGCGGGCAGAGCAGGTACAGAGGTCACCCCAGATGATCCAGTTCTGGAAGATTCCCCGGCCCCGGTGAGAGGAAACAATGAGGGATGAGAGTAGTCAGAAAACATCGGAACTGCTCCGGGCTGTGGAAGGCTTACATTGCGCTCCATCAAAATCTGTCTGCTGCTGCAATTCCGTGCGACTGGCACCATCTGCGCTGATCCGGCTCACAGTCCCCCAGGCTCCCTCTCCGCTCCCACCCATCTGCACGACAGCGTCCTGGCATTTCCCCATCTCCACTCGAGAACAAAAACATCTGCCTACAATGAAGCCCCGCCTCCCATTGCTGCCCGAGACGGATCGGAGACTGAGTTCACAAACCCCTGAAAGACCTTGATTTGAGGCCAGAGGTTACAAGTAGGGAACCTCAAGGGAGTCCAGACTGTGGTCAGAATGGAAATGGGAGGGGACCAAACGGCAGCCAGCGTAAGCCCCACCCTTTCTGATCCTAACCCTACTTTTGAGAGGAATGGAACAACCTTGACTCCAAACCTTTTTGCCTCAGGGTGGTGGATGCTCCCTATAGCCTCCTCTCCGGCATCTGCCTGTGGGAAACCAGCAAGCAAGCAAGCCCCACGGTTGTCTGCAGTGGTGGGAGGCAGGAGCCACATGGAGAGCGTGCCTTTTGAAGCTGCCGTTAATTGGATTTTACAGCATCCCTCTCGCGCCTGCCCTGTCCTTATTAAATGGCAGAGAGGAGAGGAGGCAAGAAGCTGCTGATCACAGCTGGGAAGGAAGGTTAGGACGGTGGCCTCGCTGGCGAAAGTAATCAGTGCTCAGCCTCCCCCAACATTCAAACTGCCCTGCAAGGGCTCAAACAGCGCTGAGACCTCTGGGAGAACACAGAGAGACGAGCTGCCTCTATTACTAGTTTTTCATTCCTGGGAGAGTGTTGCCTCACCATTGCCTACAGAACCACCACGTTTGTGTGTGTTAGCGTGTGTGCGCACACACCACAGGCATTCACGCCTGGCTAGGTGATGATCTATGGTGGCCTGCTACCCACACACAAGCCTGGGTGTGCTGGACTCAGATCTGCTGTCTGTGTTTTGGTTTGGATGGAGTATCACCTCCAGAAGCCAAGCCACCTCAGAACGTTGCTGGTAACTGCACTGTTAGGGTTTGAATCTGGAATGTTCCTCCTCAGCTGGTGCAGCCACGTTGGAGGCTGTGGGATTTCTGGAGAGAAGACCTGACTTGCAGAAGTAGGTCACTACGGGTGGACAGACCCTAGTTCTAATTTATTCTCTGCTTACGGGTTAGCCACAGTGTGCAAAGCCCCTGACTCATGCTCCTGCTGCCACAGGTGGTCCGTGCCTTCCCAGCTATGACACCTCCGAAACTGTGAACCAAATTTAATCTTTCCCCCACTTAAACTGTATCTTTCAGGTACTTTGTCCCACGACACAAAAGTGGGTTACAAACCCTCACGGGGAAGCACCTGCTGTTGTTTTACTAGATCCAGTGTCCCGGTCAGGTCACCTTGTGCGTATCTGCATATTTATGCGTGTGCCCATCGATCCATGCTGCTGCCAGCTTTGGTTGGAGACACGTCCTTCTGCAGTGGGTGCTGTGGTTACTGCAGACTCCAAACTGGCCAAAGTGTTGAGAATAAGTAACTGTTGAGTGCTTAGCCACTCCACTCCCTTCAAGGCTCAGGGAATATTAAAGAATGCATGGAAAGAACAGGAAAGCCACAGTAAGGGTGAAGTGTGGTACAACACTAACTGCTGGGCCTGACATGGATACACTTGCGAGTTCCCAGCCATGGCTACCTGCACAAGACAGCGTGTATTTGGGTCCATTAGCATTCAATCCACCACGAAGGGAGAAGGGACCTCATGAGGCCCTGCCTTTCGCTGAGGATCTACACTAGTAGAAAGCGGTGGCTGGTGGACCGAGAGATACTTTCTTCAGCCGTGTAACCACCAGTAAGGAGACATGCTCCTAACAGTAACCCTCACTCACATATGGCCAAGGAACCCTAACGGAGCTCACTAGTCAACAAAACAAGACAAAAAGGAACTGCTACATGTGTTCTATGTCTATTCTGGTGTGCCTGTCCATGAAATCTTACGCTATGGTATCTCCCCCGCCCCCAAACACACACACACACTGTCCTCTGCCCATA